CCCGTCATCATGGGCGCAACCCCTCCCATACCCCCACCGGTCATCATCGGGTTCATGCCACCTGCAGTCATCATTGGGTTCATGGCGGCCATCATCGGGTTCATCATCATCATGGGATTCATGCCGTACGCAGGGAATTGACCTCCATACATCGAGCCACCTTGTTGCATCTGATCGAGTTGTTGTCGCTGGTGGTCATCGAAACGACGCTGCCTATCCTCAGCCACGCGCTTCTCTCTTTCGCGTTCAGTGAGAGCAGCACCAACACCTCCTTCGCGCTTCCTCTCTCTCTCATGCGCGGTGATTGCACCAAGAAGACCCATCTGCGGAGGAGGAGGCTTATTTGGAACATTGATGAGAGATGCGCCAGTCTCCCGAGCGAGTTCTTCCTGTCGTTTCGCTGATCGGTCCTGCTTGTCCTGTATGCCAGCCGAAAGAAGGCCCTGAGGTGTGAAGGCCTTGGTCATATGCTGTGCTGGCTCCAGCTGGACGAACGTATCACTCCGAGGGGCTTCGATGTTGGCCGCACGCCCAGGGTCGAGGACTTGACTCCAGGGGTTCTGACGAGCTGCGCCAGGCTGAGGGAATTCAGCTTGCGTTCGGATTTGTGTGCCATCGTGTAGCGTGCGTGGCATAGGGCCGCCAGCAACCGAGTATTGATCGGGTGCCATACGTCGAGGAGGGGGGTTGTATTCTTCCTCTGAATAGGCTACTGCATCAGCGCCCTATCTTTAGAAGCAGAACGATCAGAAACTTACGATAGTTGTTACCAGGAACCTGAGGCAATGACCGGGGAGGTCGCAGCTGGGAATACTGTTGTGGATCTCCCCCTTGCTCAACGAATTGTTGTTGTTGTCGATGTTGAAGGGACGTCGAGGACGATGCGGGACCCGAGTTTTGTTTGTTGCCTAGGGATGGCTCGGCGTCGGAGTCAGCGTCGTCGTCGTCATCATCATCATCATCATCATCCTCTTCCTCCTCCTCCTCCTCGTCGTCACTGCTCTGATTCCACGCGCCAGCCGCCCGAGACTTCCGCTTGCCGTTCACCCGACCTGGTTTGTGGGTAGCAAGATGGTGCGCAGCTTGCTGAGCCTGGGCCTTGGCTTTCCGTTCCGTTGCCTGTTTTGAGGGCGCGAAGGACGACTTGAACTGCGAGGTTTCACTAGCGATAGGCCCAGGTGGAGGAGTCTTCTGGATGTGAAGAGGCTCGACGTTAGCCTGTTTTGGTGATGCAGGTTTGTCATCCACAGCGAGGTACGACAAAGCGGCTAGAGCATCCAGGTCAGCATCCAACGAAGCAGACGGTCGAGCGTGTAGCTGGTTCATTTTGGCCTGCAGTGGGGTCTCGTAATGATCTTCGCTTTGAATTTCTTCTTCGGCAACTTGTTGTGATGAAATACCGTCCGCCGCGTTAAAAGGGCGTGCTGTCGCTTGTGCACGTGCCCCTGAAGGCTTACGTCCGAGCCCCTGTCGCGAGGGGCTTGAGTGATCAGCCGAGGCGACAGCCGGGATGTTTGAAGACGGAATGGGTGAAGATCTCTCGAAGAAAGCCATCGGCGTGCTCTGGCGGACTGGTTGCTTCCTACTGTGGGCTGAATCGTTCGACGCGGGACTGACAGCCCCAGCGCGGACGTTTTGCTGAGTCGAGACATGTGGAGAATCGTCGTCGTCGGAATCAGAATCTGTTTGTTCGTTGATTGTAGTTGGTACGCGACGTGGGGGTGCCACGTCCTCAGAATGTTGCTGCATATAATACAACGCTCCTGCATCGCTAAGAAGATTGCCACTATCTTCCGACTTGTTACCCGGCTGAACACTGTTCACTGATCTCGGCGGTGATACGTGATCCATAGAGCTTCGTCCATCGATACTTCGGATAGTGCCGTGCGGGGAGTATGGAGATGTTAAGGTAGGGTGAACACCTGAAATGGAGTGGGGAGATGTGAGGATTGAAGCACGGTCGTTGATTTCAGCACTCGGTGACAACCCACGCTCTTGGATATCAACGCTGGGTTGTGACGAGTTATCATCTCGGATAAAAACTGAATGTGGAGAAGTGAGAACTGACATTGTCCTCTTGGGGACAGTCACGAGAGGAGGTCCAGGCCCGAGATCGGATGCAGGCGGAGATATGGATGTCGAAGGCGATGTCGATGAAGTACTGTAGGAAGGAGGCGAGTTCGCCAGGGCAGGAGCGGCGGAGGAGTTGCCATGCGATATAGTCGAAGATGAGAGCGGTGACTTTGAGACAAGACCGTCATGTGGCCGGCTTTCAGCCTTACTGAAAGCAGAAGCAGAGGATCCAGTTGAATCGACTCGAGAAGGGACCTGAAATCCTCTGTTGATGCTTGGGCTATCGAAACTGCGTCTGCCTGATCCTGCATGACTGAGGACAGAACTTGGGATGGGCCGTGGTGACGTCTCGACTGCGGAGACAGACTGCGGCGGGCTAACTGGTGTTGGGCTATTTGTGACAGGCCGATCAAACATGGATGCATCGTTGTTTGTTGTGGATGTCGAATTCCCAATATAGACGTTCTGTGGCGGCGGCGGCTGTGGCGAACCATACGGGCTGCCAGTTCCTTCAGCATTGCTTTGTCTTCTGACAGGGGACAGAGGTTTTTCGTCATCTGGAAGAGTTGTTCCACCGAAGCTCAGAGGGGGCAACTGGAAGCCACCGCCAGAAGCGTTGGAGACCGGCTGTGGGGCGGGAGCTGTGGTGGGTCGCTGCTGGGAAGCATCCGTGTTGTTCCCTATGGGTGGCAGGGTAGGTGGCGTGTCAGCAGTGGTGGGCCTCGGTGGCTCAACTCCACGCATACGATCAAGGAGAATACCGATTAGGCGGGATCGAATAGAGGAGGTGGACTCGTCACGGGGGTCAAGCGTTTCCGCTAGCTCGCGGTCGAGGAACAGGAGCTAGAAGTAAATTTAGTAACATGACTATTGGAAATGTCAAGTACGAAGGGCATACATCTTTATTCGGCCCAACAGGATAGGCAAACATGAGGGAAACGGGATTCCGAGGGTCCCATGTCCAGGCGTCAGGGCGTCCATACAGTTCAAACGCATCATGGAGGGCTATTAAAAAGTGATGTTGAGAATTGGTACATCCAAACATAGTAAAGTACTTACCGATCAACCACCTCAGCATTTCTTCTGCCTGTCCTGCACTAGCTTCCAGTTCAGGCATAATCAATAGCCATCCCTGGCGAGTCTTCATAGATGCTGCCGTTTCCTCGTCCCCGAACGTTCCTTCCACCTTGACCAGGGTGCTCCTGCTAATCAATTCAGGCCGCTCTGGGTACACAGCAAAAGCCTGCGTGACATTCTTGAAGGTCAGAAGCGCCTTTTTCTTGTCTTTCGGCTTTTGTGACGTATACATCGAGATGACCGGCTCCGAAGGTAATGATGTATTGTTGAGATTGCGCGAGAATAGGCTGGACATCCTCTTCTTGGGCGGGAGAGCTGTAATAGGCATTGGAGCGCTGCCTATGCCGCCCGCGCTGGGTGCGACACGTTCTGGGTGCCCGCCTTCGGTCCCGGCACTGACTACCATCCACATCCGCTTCCAGTCCGTCTGTCCTGCAACGCGAACGCGGACCCAACCCTCCAAACGCCCACGCACAAGTGTCGAAAGCGCATCGGGTTCTGTGGAAGCGCGATCAATCGGCGAATTAACGGAATATGGGAAGCAGAACTCACGTTTTAACATAATGCGAAATAGATGTGCCGTATAGATCTCTTCGAGACGCGACTTTTCCCAGGCAGAAAGTCGCATGGCAGCTGCCCAGGACTTCAAGGAGCGCGCGTCTGGACATGAAAACAATAAAATATTGGAACCTGCTGTGTTGAGGGCCAAAATGTTCAAATACTTCTTTGAAGGACTTGTCGGAGTGTCCGGCGTCGTTACCGAGCCATGGACTTGCACGAACTAACGAGGCCAATCAGCGAACATGGAAAAGTGGTTGGAAGCTTTAGGCTCACGGCATCGGTCGTGTTTACGTAGGTTGGAGGGACTTCTTTTCCCTGTTTACTGGCCTCCTGTATCTGGGCCATATCCCAGATGCTGAGCGTGGTGCCATTCAATTGTGCCCACACTTCGAACCAAACCTCTTCCTTCTGCTTCTGGTCTGCCGTACGCCTTTCTACTCTGCGGACAAGGGGCCCAGAGTAGTAGATCTTGCGCGAATGGGCGGCAGTTAATTGAACCACTGAGCGAATTTCCGGGTGAAGCGGTTGTGGGGCGGCAGTAGGTTGAGGCTGAGGCTGAGGTTGAGGTTGTTTATTCTTCCTCAGTAACGAGAGCGTACGCACGGGAGGAGGTTGTGAAGGCTGCTGCTGCTGCTGTGCAGCAACTGGCGCCTGCACAGGTCCCGTTGTTGTCCCAAACTCTCCAGCACCTGGGCCAACTCCGTTTCCGTTTCCCATGGAGCCGCTCCGCGGGTGACCAGTAGCCTGACTGGGCGTCGATGTTTTGTTGCGGAAAGAAAAGAAGGAGGAAGTTCGAGAATGGCCGTTATTTTGGAGTGGCGGTCTGAGTTGAGGAGTTGTGGTAGTGTTTATGGGAGCCATTGGACGCTCAGATGACGGAAAAGGAATAGCGTTCGACTGCACCCTTGCGGCGGGCAACAACTCTGAGCCGAAGGTGCCCCGCTGGCCGTCCGTGATGGGCAGGAGATAACTTTGTGTTGGCCCAGCCTGCATCCAATCCTGATTCCTGTGTTGATGATGGGAAACGGCCGTTCATGACCTCCTTACATACACGTGGCTTCTTACTCCATCCCCGCGCCTTACAATGGCGTTCACATACCTCTGTAGGTTTCTAACAGAACTCAGAGTATGGAGCCATATCGCAGGCTTTTCGTGAAGCTGACGGCAGTTAGAGACCTGCACCTTACAAACGGGGTAACTTGATCATCTACAACTCACAAACGACGCTATCAATTGATAAGTGGAGCACCTTTATAGACCTATGAGCTGATCAAGGCAGAATTCATAAGAGCAGCATGGCGCAGTTGGAAGCGCGCGGGGCCCATAACCTGGTGTAACCCCGAGGTCACTTGATCGAAACAAGTTGCTGCTATAATGTTTTGCGACCCAGTAGCTTTTTGGTGCGCTACAGTGGTTATCTAAACGACGATGAAGATAGCACCAACACATCAATACGGATTCTGATCCACTCTGCATCCACTCAGAACCTTTCATGACAAGCGGCATGCGCCGCCGCAGCCAAATTCTCTCGAGTGTACAGGATAGCCACGATAGCGTAAACCGACGCATTTGACACCCAGGGTTACCAAATCAGGTCTTCAGGTCTCATTGAATTCTTGTTGATATAGTTGTCCCCCTGAGAAAGAAGGTTCCATTGTATTTGTAGCTCTGAAAAACGCATCGAAATTCGCATGTTGCTGCTGACGAAGACATTCGAAGGATGCAGATAACCTCCCTCTTGACGGCCGCGTGAACAAGTGGGAGATTACAACGGATTTTTCCTCTCAGAAGATACAGTCTGGGATCTTTGATGTAACTATGTCTCGTTTTCAGGCGCCACCCGTGCCTGGAGAAAAACAGCAGGGTTATGCTCTGGGGTCATATGGTCGAATTGCGTAAACGGACCTTATTCTCATCCAAGCCTCCAAGCTCAGTGACGAGTCCACCGTACGGGTACTCGCGCCGGATCGCAGGGTGCTCTTGCAGCAGTACGTACCGGACGAGGAACCCGAAGCCCACGAACCCGCTGACCGCAATGAGGAAGTGGCCCAGGGCAGTTGAAGGTGGGAGAGGGGGTTCATCGGGCCCCCACATGGACAGAACTTCCTCCTCCTCATGCAACTGCAATCCGACACTCGGTAAGCATACCGTATTTATTCAGGACAGAATTAACGCACGGTATCCCCAAAGTTACGTCTCATGAGCGGATCGTCCCAGCCGTGTGGTGTAAGGTTTTGTCTGGAGACAAACGGAAGTTGAGGGTAACCATCCAATTGAGGATCAATCTCCTCCTTGGTGTTGGATGTAGCAGGAGCTCTATATGGTGGTGTTGAGTGTATTGAGCGCAGAGCCAGGCCACGCCTGGCCGACGAAGAGACAGCCGCTGCGCGACGGAGAACAAGAGTGGCAGACATGAACGAAAGCTGCTCAATTCGGAAGACAGCGGTGGCTCCCGCACGCCCACGTGCTAATTCAAAATTCACACGGAGAGTGACCCTCAAATCGCGAACCGTTCGGCCATCATGAATAGAAATTATTGCAGATTTGCTTATTCCAATGGGGCTCTTATATAGAAAACACTTGCCGGCAACCTCTCCGTCCCTTTCACCCTTCTTTCCCTTCTACTGGCACAAACCCACGCCCAGCAATGGCGCAAAACAGTGGCCCAGTGAACGTCGAGAACGCCCTTCTCAGGTCGCGTAGCTTTCGACGTCAGCCTGGTCATAATCCGTACCCAGTGCAACACGTTGGCTCTTCCTCTTCTGTCTTGTACGTCAAGTCACATGCTGGGTCTTGAAGCCTCATTTCAAATATGTCTACAGCGATGTCTGGAACAACTTGTTCAGGACACGGGGACATAGCTTGACGCTGCACGAGTTCGAGACGCCGCCGGCCGTTGTCCTCGACCTTGGATGTGGGAGCGGCCACTGGGTTATCGAAGCTGCCAAAATATGGAAGGTTTGTAATCCAACTTGTCATCCGGTGCTTCCATAACCCCACCGCCATTCACAGGACAGTACATTCGTCGGATACGATTTTAGAAACATGCAGCCTAACCTGCACCATCCTAAAACCTTAAAGTATCACAGAGGTATTGCCCACCGTATCGAATGGTTCCACGGCAACTTGTATGCTTCTACTTCTAATCGGCCTCCCATCTGTTTAACTGTTTTCGTCTAGATTGGATGGCCTACCCTTCTCCTCAGACCAATTTGACCTTGTGCGAGTGGTAAATATCGGCCTTGGAGTACCCGAAGATGAGGTGCGTTATTCACTGCCCCACATTTTTCTTTGTACTGATCAGGGGTTCATCACATAGTGGCAGTATGTCTTCGAGGCACGCGTCACAAGACTTGCTAGTTCATTTTTGGTAACTGATGCAATTTCAATTTACAGGAAATAGCACGCGTTATGAAGCCTAGAGGTGTGATTGAGGTACACAGACCATCTAAAATCTAAATGACATTGGTCCTAAGACTGATCTGGCAATAGGTGATAGAAGAAGATCCAATCTTCCCCTGTGTTGGACCTATGATTCAGCGGACGAAATACGGTGATTCGTCGCAGACACTCATCAATGGACCTTCTATCGTCGTTCCTCCTAAAAAGCCTACTATCGTCGTTCCACCCAAGAAGCCTTCTATTGACATTCCGACCGACCGATATTTTGCAAGCGCGAGCTCGGCGACTATCTGGTCAGATCATGTGGAGATCAAACTCAACAGCTTACAGCGCTATGGTATCAGCTCGCCGACGTCCACGACAACAGCTTTGTCCTCACCCACGACCCCCGTTTCTGCCCAGCCCTTCTCGCCCACGATCCCTGCCTCCATTCACCCTTACTCACCCACAACTCCCTTCACGCCCAAGACCCCCACCTCCTCTCACCCTTACTCCCCCACAACTCCCGTCTCTGCTCATCCGATCGCGGCCTCAACCACTTCGCATTCAAGTTCCGTCTCTGATTATACACAGTCCCATCAACATCTTCCCTACATACCTCGCAATTCCGTCTCGCACGCAGAAACGGATCGTGTCCCGGACCTGCGTAACCACTTGCGGCTAAAAGCCGCGTGGAACTCAATGCTCGCGTCTCGGTTCATTGCCGAGAACCTCGTCTCCGTGCTTCCCTTCTACCTGTCATCCTTATTCATCGACGTACAAAGTCAGCCCCCTACTAAAGTCCTCCTTCCCCCCAACTCCAAGGCAGGCCCTGACCTTCAACGCTCATCCTCGGAGTCCTTCGAGAACAGCATATTGCCCAGCGACTCCAGCTTCACGTCCCTCCCTTCCCCGCCTCGAACCTCCAACGCGTCCACATGGTCCTCTAAGTCGGCTGCCAGCACAACAGCCTTATCTAGGAGCCCGTCCGGCACATCCCTAGAATCGTACACCTCGGATTACGCGCGGATGCACCTAGCGAACACGGTGCACGTGGTGTCAGGGTGCAAGGAGGCCATTTGGCAGGAGTACAAGAAACTTTTCGACGTTCATGTCGCAAAAGTTGTATCCCCGCAAGCAGACGCGCCCTCAGGCTACGCGGCGTACTCTGGCCCCGGGAACGTCAAGTCCTCGATCCGGGAGTCGTTCGATGACGAGTGGACGTCGTGGTACAAGTGAGTGCCATCCCTATTAATCACTTTGGCTTTGTGTTAGACTTTTTTGTGGGCGTGGTGCTTATTTTTGCTCCGATTCGTGTATTGCAGTGATATGTCAGATCGCATCGGGATGCGTGGGCTTATGGCCCAATACCATTGGACTGAACCGCCAGGACACCGTCCTGATTGGCATGTCTGGCGTGCTAAGGTGCAGGCCACCGACGACATTTATGCACGTTCTTCGACGGATACACCAGACATTTGTCGCTCGATGCGCAGCTTCGTGGCTTGGAAACCGCTGCCGGAGCCGTGATCACTCAACATTCTTTTCCAGGCTCTCGATTTCATCTTCAGCATATATCACCACTCTCTATCGTAGATTTTCAAAGGCAGGGTCTTTGGGAATATTCTGCGTCATCATACACATGCTACACCCGCCATATACATATTTACTATAACTACCTACATCTATACCTACTCACTTCGTTGCATTTCCCTTGCATAATCCGGTATGGAACACACCTATAGTTAACTTGCATAATTATATCAAGTTCCAGTGGAACTTTCGACACATCGTGCCTTTCTTTCTGGGCTCTTTATTACTTGAAGTGTCTTACAGTGGGCTTTATATTCATCGAAATTCGTACAGATCATCATGGTTCATGCATACCATCAATTATCGCTTACCCCCCGTACCGCACTGGTCCATCTCGATATTTTCAAATCCCTTGTGACTCCTCTTAGAGTCTCCAAACGACGCCCACCACCACGGATTCTGCTGGTCGCCGCGTTGCTCGTAATAGCCGCGTTCACCCCCCTCGACCCCCGCAAAAGCCTGCGCATGCTTGGTGAGCGACGCGACATCGTCCTCCTCATACAGCTCCCCAGCCTTGCCCGACGACAGCGGCTCCCCGTTACTAGGTATTACCATGGTCGCCTTCGGCGGCTGCTTGACTTGCACAGGGACCGTGCTCGGGAGTGACGGCGAGGGCAAATTGTGACAGCTTTGCCTCGGAAGACGGGCCTTCTGCGCCCTACATAGTGCTGTGCAGACGCGACAGTATGCTGCGATAAAGAACGCAGCGATGATAGAGGTGAAGACGATGAAGAAGATGGCCGCGAAGCTGAGGCCATGTGGGGGCTCGTTGAGGAGGATCGCGCCGCCGATGGTGGAGTTGAGGCACTGCAGGAGCTCCATATCTGTATCCCCAGGGAGGAGGTGATTGTAGCTGGGGGTGGAACTTTGGGGGACGAGAGCGGCAGTGTTGTTGTAGCCGTCGAGGGTAAGTACGGCGCTGGAGGCACGGAAGTATTGAAGCGACTGTTCAGGAAGGGGGGACACTGCATAACGAAGGTACGGGAGGGGCATGGCGGAGGAAAGGTTAACGAAGGGTGCACAGATGGTGAGGGAGGTGATGAGAAGTGCAGCAGAGGCGTAGTCGGTGAGGATATGGAAGGTTGTACCGGCCGGTGTGTTTGAGATGTAGGTCAGTGTGCTGAGAGGACCACCAGGACGAGTGGCGTTGTCTGGAAGCCCATACTGGAGAGGGTGAGCACAGATTTCGCAAGTACAGTTAATGCTTTACCTCGTATGGATGGAGATACGCGTCGCCGGCGCGAACGATGAACGGATTCGTCCATGCAACGGGCCAGAAATAGAATGGGAACCCGCGGCCATTTGTACCACGCAGAACACCGCCGTCGGGGTATCCGCTCCCGTAATCACTGACAAGGCCTCAAAAAAGTAGTACACCATGCCGAGGCAAGACTTACT